CGATGACCACAATTGTGATCATTCGGGAAGCCAAAAAATAATTAAAATCTGACAAGTTCTAAATCTGGAAACTTTTATCATATGAGTTGCTTAGATTCGGGGGGATTTTATAAATGCTCAATTCGGGAGAACGGCAAAGCACGTTAGGATAAAATTAGCTGCGGGACAACGTCAATAAATATGGTACTTAAAATGATGAGTATTAAAATTGTAACATTGTAATGCAAAGTTGCATGATAATTAGATTATTAGAATTATGAACTATGACTATGGTGCAAAATTATGGGATGCAAAACTACTCAAGAAATTTGTAAAATAAAGCTATTGGTCCCAAACCACACATGTTGGTGGATATGCATAAGGTTTTGTTTACTTGCATCAAGAGTTCTGACTAACTTTATGCATACATTTGGTATATTTTAATTTCCAAATGCAGCCAAGACCTCAATCTAGATGTAGAGAGCAATTTGATAATTTATGAGTTTGATCGAAGGTGTATATAACCCCTTATTTATTGGCGAGCTAATTTTACCTCATATTTTGTATCTTAAATAATCCCCTATACCTGTATAGATTATCTGAGATAGTTGGTGCACAAATCAAAATATTTGTAGAGCTTCTGGGAAAACCAAAAACTAATTTCTCCCACTAGTTTCTCATCAACGTTGAAACTTAGCAAAAATGAACATGTCCTGGCAAAACCAAAATTACACGAGACGGGTGTGGTTTGGGCTCAATAACTCTCCGTAATAAATTTCTTGAATAATGTTAGCAGTTAGTAAATTACAGTCAAAAATTTTACATGCAACCCATCCAATGCAAAGCTGGGGCGAAGTTACATGAAACTGACCTAGTGTTACCACGGACGATTCTGAGCCAAGACCCTAATAATTTTTGTTTTTAGTGTCAACGTGTTTTGCCGTTTCCCGAATCAGCTAAATAATTTTTACCACGGAAATATCCGTTGTCCCGCACCTGACATGGAAACGTGAAAACGTTAAAAGCCGTTTAACCCGAACGCAGAGACTTTTTTTGTGAACGGCTTTTCACGATCTCCCGAGTTAAAGCAAAAAGTCTAAAACGTTTTTAAACGGTCTCCCATGGCTAAGGCTTAACCAAAATCATGATCATCTAAAACGCTAAAACTTTTTCGATTTTATGTAGACTGGTTTCAGAAATTAAAGAATTTTTTCTTTAAACAAGATACCCTACTATATGGTCTTCTTGCAAAGAATGTGATGACGAAATTCTTCACGTTATCAAATTCTCGCTTTTTCAAAGCGGTGACGTAAATGGAACGCGGCTATCAATATTTTGTGGGGACCCATGATTTTATTTGATTATGTTATAAGTTCTGCGACCACATAATGCATATTATTGGACGATAGTTTTCATACAATGGGCTACTTTGATTTTCATTTAATCCGATTTACGTATTTCTACTCCCTTGCACAATTTGGACAACAACTTATCTCATGGAATTTGAGAATAGTCAGTGTTTTTCTGGTAGCTGAGACCATTTTGGATTGTTCAGGCTATTTTACGTCCTTGGAAAAATTTTAATTCGTGCATTGCCCCGGCGTTTTTCCGGCACATTAGAATTTTGAATGATTTAATTTTTATTTAGAATTTCCCGCTTCTAAGACCTGCATCTCAAAGCTATGGTGCTTCTAGCATTTATCCTCATTCCACCCTTGGTATAAATTTGAAAGAAAAACATTAACAAGATCAATAGTTATAGCTGATTTTGTCTCCGGCGGGGGCCAAGAATTAATGTTACACACGCTATATTAGTCCTTAATCTTTGGAACAATTATTCCGATCATGTCCTAAGCTCTGAAGACTTTAGGCTAATTTTTCTCAAGCAGGACTGGTTTGATCTTAGAGTTATGTTTAGAATTTGGTCATTAAACCCTTGATGCTGCCTGATTTTTTCGTACAATTTTACATTGAATGCACAACAGGCTATCAAAGGAACACATCGCAAACTTAGTGGTTTTTAATACTTAAACCTAAGATACATACATGTAACTGTGCATGTTTTTAGGCTATTAAGACGGTATGAGTCATTACATGAGGAACTTACAAATTTTAAGCCTACAAAGAGCCATATATGCAAATATTTCTGGGGGCTGGGCCCCCCCCAGAGTCCAATCCTGGCTACGCCACCTTAGGTGGATCCTCTCCAGATCTAGGGAATCAGGTAAAATTGCCCTTGCAAATAAATCCCCACAGTTTAAAGACAATTAGTGCGTTTAATTTGAGAGAGAGGTTAAAAACATGTGCCGGACTCGGTTCAAAAATTTCGTGCCATTATCATCATCATCCTCAGCCTGCTGGTGGTTGTCGCTGCAACCACCAGCGGTGTTCACTCCATACATACAAATACCCCATGGAAAGATCATTACATGCAAGGTGCTTGGCACAATCCATGATAACTACTATTGGACAGTGGCGTAGCCAGGATTTGGCTCTGGGGTGGGGGGCCCAGCGCCCAAAAAATATTTCCATATATGGCTCTTTTTAGGTTGAAAATTTCTGTTTCCTCATGCAATGAGTCATACCGTTCTAATAGCCTAAAAACATGCTCAGTTACATGTATCTTAAGTTTAAGTATTAAAAACCTGCAAGTTTGGCATGCCATTTGTTCCTTTGATAGCCTATCGTTCATTCAATGTAAATTTGTACGAAAAAAACAGGCTGCATCAAGGGTTTAATGACAAAATTTTAAACATAACTGAAAGATCAAACCAGTCCTACTTGAGAAAAATTAGCCAAAAGTCGTCATACGTTCATAGAACATGATCGGAATAATTGTTCCAAAGATTGAGGAATAATATAAAGGGTGTAAATTTATTTCGGTAACATTTATTTGTTGGCCCCCGCCCGAGACAAAATCAGCAATAACTATTGATCCTGTTAATGTTTTTCTTTCAAATTTATACCAAAGGTGGAATGAAGATAAATGCTAGAAGCACCATAGCTTTGAGATGCAGGTCTTAGAAGCGGGAAATTCTAAATAAAATTAAAATCATCCAAAATTCTAATGTGCCGGAAAAACGTCGGGGCAATGCACGAATTAAAATTTATCCAAGGACGTAAAATAACCTGAACAAAATGGTCTCACCTATCAGAAAAACACTGACTATTCTCAAATTCCATGAGATAAGTTCTTGTCCAAATTGTGCAAGGGAGTACAAAAACGTAAAACGGATTAAATGAAAGCCCAAGTAGCCCATTGTGGTGAAAACTATAGTCCAATAATGTGCATTATGTGACCGCACAACTTATAACATAATCAAGTCGAATCATGGGCCCCCACAAAATATTGATAGCCGCGTTCCATTTACGTCACCGCTTTGAAATAGTGAGAATTTGATAAAGTAAGAATTTAGTCATCACATCCTTTGCAAAAAACATATTGGGTATCATGCAAATGGGTTTGTAATCCGTACAGTTTCGAAAAAGAAAGATTTTCATTGAAGTGAAAAATGTTGCCGGATTAAATTTACATCCTTTAAATACGTATCTCTAATAAAAACCTTGACAACGAAGCTTACAATATTCTTGACTACTCAAACATTTAAATGCGAAATTAAACGACGAATTAAATAGATACGATTCACATTCAAAATCGTTAAAAAGATTTGTCTTCGCATCCTTAGTATCGTGAAATATCATAGAAATAAGAAACGAAGCGTTAAGCCTCATAAAACTGTGAGCTTACAATGCGGAGACCTTAAGTGGTTTTCTCCATTTTTGACCGGGTAAATTAGGAATAGTTTGTGCACAGAAATATGTGGGCCAATCTTTTAAATTTTCTTGAATGCGCGTGTTTTTCCCTTTGCCCGAATTTTTAACCAAAATCAGGATTTTTCAAAACGCTGTAACTTTTCCAATATTAACCAGATTATAAACTGTAAAGAACACAAAAATACTTGTTAGATTTGGAATTTACATGCTACTTTAAAATGCAAACATTTCAGCATAACAAATTTTTGACAATAATTTTTTCTTGCTAATGTACTTTAATTTCTGAAACCAGCCTACATAAAATTGAAGAATCTGTGCGTCCACAATTTAATACTCGTCCGATTAAACTCGGAGAAACCCATTTGGATCTTATGCATTGTTATAACGTGATTTTTTTAGTACAGTTTTACGACGCTTACAAAATCTCTTAGTTGTCGTACTTATCTTTCGATACAAAAATACTACAAGGATACTAAAAGGATACGAAGTAATAACGATGTAATAGATAGGTTGAGCAAGAGTACATGATTATACTTTGCGATTGTAAAGGCAGCGGAAAAATCAAATATTAGTCAGAATATTAGTCAAACACAGGATTACAAATCTCCGTCTCCAAGCAGCATTGTATTGTACGCATTTACCCAACATACAAGAATTTCAAATCTGCGGCCAGAAATTAATGAGAATTACGATCCTCCCAGAAAATATTCTTGCTCAACCTCAAGAATATACAAGCATAGATTTTGATTGTGATTCTAGACTACAATGATTTTTTTACAATCATGTACTCTTGCTCAACCTCTCTAATAACGATGTAAAGTATAACTTAATACGTAACTTAATTTTAAATTTTTAAATTTTGTGCAATTTTTTAAGTATTTTTTTATTTGCTCGGGCTCTGGGGGGGGCTCAAGCCCCCCTAGCCCCCCCCCTTGGCTACGCCGGTGCTATCGGACAACCACACCCAGACAAGCACAATCCGACATGTAAGTTCTTGAATTTATTTAATTTTGAATTTTCGCGCCATTCGGAACTGACCTGACCTTCACTTCCGTTGCCGAACATTTGCGTTCACTTCAATTGCCAACAGACATTTCCGGCTTATAATATAGATGTATCTTTTTTGTAAATAATCTAGGACAAAAGGCAATTGTTGGATTATTATTTTTTAAATATTTTAGTCAAGAAATTAATATGGTTTAATTAAGTGCTTTGCATTACAAATATTTAGCAACAAATGTCGAAAATTATTTACATACAAATAAGTAACAATATTTATTTAAAATTGTGTACCTACTTAATTGTTGTCATAACAATTTTCTCCCTAATTAACTAAGCGATACAATTTCGAATATTCCAATTAAATACATTTCCCGGAAACCTAACCTGCTCAGTACAATACTTGCTCCAAAAGAGGAAAGATCCTACGGTCCTGGCGACGCAAATTTTGAACACGTTTGAAGGATTCAATTCGTCGGCCAAAATTTGGAAAACGTACCAAGACCTCAAATCCAATGACAGATAATAGGAAAACTGATTAATCATTAATTCTATGTTTTATTGCCTGTTCTAAAAAAATTTATCGCGTCGCCAATGGATAAATATCTCTCGCCTCACATGCATGAAACAACATTGGATTCAGTTTGCCTTACGGACAAATTAAGATCGACACACCCATTGTTATCGGAACATTTTACCCTAGTGGCATTGGGCTGTCGTAGAAAAAAATACTCGAGACTTTTCAAGTCATCCTTGTTAAAGGATGTGCATTTAAAACTAACCCTTGTAAATCTAGGAGCCTTTAAGGAATACCCTAGTCGTTCATAAAATTTTGAACAGTTTTCTAACTTCTCGAAACTAATGGCCTGCAAGTTTGTAGCAAGAATTATTTCTTTCCGAATATCAGTACCATTTGATACTTGGCAAACGGCCAAATCAACAAATGAGATTTGTATAATCTGACAGAATGTGTTAAAGAACGCTTGCAGCTCGGCGTCTGTTAACGCGACAAAAATGCTAAGTCCAGTGACCGCTCGGGACAACGGATTTCTTGCGATTTATTTTGTATTAAGGCTACTGTCACGATTAAAATCGTTTCGGGATCGTGACATAGATCGAGTATGGTTTTATTCCAATCTGGAAGAAGCTCGGTTGCGTTGACAGGAAAATAAGTATCATCAAGCTTTACCGACGGGTTCACTTTGCATAACGATCTTGGCATTTCAGTCGTGCTATATGAATTAGTCGACGTGTCTGAACGATCCATATGCGGCCCGGCAAAATGATACGTTGGTATAGTTTTTAGTAATAGTATGGCGCCGCCAATCGGAGGAAATAATATACAAGTAAATTGGGTTTGTCTCTGCCGGGTTGTGTCGAATCTCTTGCTAATTTTGCGTGGTCTTGTTTCTCCTAGAATAAATCACGGATAAATAACAATTAGAATTGATTTAGAGTAAGTATGTAGCACACTGAAACATATGTACATACATGTGAATGTTTAATATATGCAATATCCATAGTTACACACATGTGAAGCAAGTGTAATTAATACGGAAACCTGCTTGGGCTTATAATTTCTTTCTCCCTCTGTACATTAAGGTATGGGATAATACATGGGTAATTTTTGCACGGTTAAAAGGTTACAGCAAATTTGAAAATTTCATCCAAATAGGAGGGATACGCTTCGCACCATTGAATTGTAAATATTTCAAGAACCATGAATACCATTTATGTATCTACCTACCTGAAGATTTCAACGGCTCTGATTCGTTGAGACCTCCAATCTCTTCAGATCCTCGCGGGTTGATAACTTCGTGTACAGGATTTCCCAACGGGGGTCTGTTAGAGTTAGCTGTGGACACAACAACCGAGGTACTGGTCGAGGCTGAGCAAGGTTGTGGCGGTTCATCTACCTCATCAAAGATCTGGGTTGCGCCGACAGTTTCCGAATCCACAGGAACCTTGGGCGTCATCGCTTCTTTCAATCCTGGGATTTTGTGCCATTCCACGGCTAGAATTGTGTCTATAGTGAAACGAGATACAAAAAATGTGTGACAAATACACTCAAAATATCACGCCATTTGTAACTGTCGCGGACAGAATAATTGTAGTTATAATACTTATTTTATCATTTTTTATAATTTGGTAGTTGAGAGCATTGTCCCATTTTAACATTTGTAGTATGTAAGGTTTTAATATTCACTTTTGAGTATGCAATTTTCATACGTCGACACCTGCATGGTCAGTCACAGGGTCTAAATCCCAAAAATTTCGGAGGGTGTCGGTCATTTTTTTGCAATTTTCGCTGCAGGCCAAAATTGCAAAATGTATCTTCTTAGCATGAGATTATATGAATATTATTGCGTGCGGGATACATTCATAAATATGTCCATTCGCCCTTCTGTACCTTATTTTTAACCTTTCAATAAGGTTCAATTGAGTCTCAAAGTGGACGAGAATTGAAAATTGATACAAAATATTAAATCGTAGGCTACAACTTTTCGACCATAGAGGGTGTCCAGAAAGTTTCTCCTTATGGATTTTCCGTCGGGTTTTTGTTGCTAGTTTTTACATCTGTGACTTTTGTTGTACAATTATTTTTCCAATACGATACCAAAGGTAAAGTCTTTTCGCATGCACGGGGAATTGAGTACCCAAGCAGCATCCAATGCAGGGGATGGTAAAAAGTGAAAATGAAAAAATCTGAATGACGCTGGGATTGCGGTGTGATAAAAAATGTTTTAAATCCAAACGCAGTTCAGACACTTCGAGGACACTCTATCCATCAACCAAATGTTAACTTACATAAACATCTTTCATCAAATCGCATAGTTTTGGTATGAAAGCTGAACAAGCCTAAATCTCGCAACCCACACTTTCAGAAGAAAGGTAAAACTTTAATAACTACGTTTGGGGCTACCCCAGCATTACAACGCAGGGCTGTCAGACATACAGGGGTCAGCATACAACGCTTTTTAACCAACGTGATTTGAGTTAAACTCCACAGAACTGGTTAAAAGCATATGTAGATTTTCGACTATTTTGACCCATGCGGAAGGCGACGATAAGCGTATGTTCACAGACAAGAGTTAGATTTAAGAGCATTGACAATTCAATCCACAAAATTTGTGATGTAGGAAAACAAATTTTAAGGATGTGGCATCCATTACGAGGCCGAAACACGACTTCGAAATCCCGGTCCAGGGTTGGTTCCCTAAGGACCAAACATTTTGCACCGTAGTTTTAAGGCATGAGTGGAAGAAATGGTGAATACGGCCGTATTACGCACACCATACTACAGTACTTTCGAAAAATATAGCCGTTTGAACAATTCGATCTCCCTTTTTTGTTAGGTAATAAAATTCATTAGTGGTTGATAGGGAAAAACTTACTGGACACACTCTATCATTCCTCCACTAACTCAAAAATAATCATTCTGAAGTGAATTTCGATATAAGGGCATGCTACGAATGAAAGTGGCAGTTTTAGTTTTTTTTTTGGCTAAGAAACTTTTGAAAGCACGTCCTTGGATAGCAGTCAAAACGAAGAAAACCGTGGCATAAGTCATATCTCTCTGGAGGAACGTCATGCAGCTAAAACGTTTTAAATATAACTTCATAAAAATGTATAACTTGAATATTATTTTTGGAATAAGACGATCATGCTGTTGACATTTCTAACTTAATCCCGCCTACTATTGCATTAGAAGACCTACGAATCTCTAAACTAAATTATTTATTTTTTTATATAAAAAGCGAATCGTGTTACAGATGTTAAGTTTTTCATGCACCTTTATAGGCCTAAAGGCCTGAACAAAGGCGGTAATAAAAATCAATCAATCAATATTCTTTTGAATTGTCCACATACAGAAAGTGTGAGGGTTCCACTTATTTTTTAACGAGTAAAAAAATAATTTTTGGTATGTACAAAAGCATAATAAGTGCGAAATTTAATAATCTTTCCAAAACTGAATGCAGAATTTGATTATTTTTGTCGTTAAAAAGTTAGAGCAAAAAGTTCAGAGGATGTTACAAAATTAGTTCCTATTCGTGCAATTTCTCAGTGTCTTAAATTTAAGAACTAGGTTGACACCCTGAGTAAATTTCTCACAGCGTCTCAAATTTAAGAACCAGGTTGACACCCTGAGTAACTTTCTCACAGCGTCTCAAATTTAAGAACCAGGTTGACACCCTGAGTAAATTTTCACAAAGTTCAAATCAAAGAACCAGGTTGACACGTTTAGTACATTTTCATAGCGTCTCAAATTTAATACCCAAGTTGACACCCTGCGACATATCTCACAGCGTCTCAAATTTCAGATTTTGCTAGACACCCTGAGACGCTGCTTCGCAGCGTCTCAGGGTCTTCTCCATCTCGCAGGGTCCCCGGCGTATTAGGAGTATACCGGTGTCGAGGTATGGCAATTTTGTCTAATTTTGTCAAGATTTATGCGGTAGTCAGTTCATGTTGTAGTCAGTTTGGCTGTCAGTCAACGTGCCAGAAAGTCTGTTGTTAATTTCTACTTTTAAGATTATTAAGTGGTTGCATTTGTGTAAGAGAACGTTTTTGAGCCTTGTGTCGTGCCGAGTTGTGATTGGTCAGTCAGTTTTTCGTCGTACTAATCCCGAAACAACATAAGTGCATTGGATTCTTAATTCCAAAACAACATAAGTGCACTCGATGCTTAATTCCGAATTAACGTATGTGCACATTGAAAACTAGCAAAAAGACATAAGTGCTTATGTTATTTCGGAATTAAACATCGCATGCACTTATGTTGTTTCGGAATTACCAATCGAGTGCACTTATGTGTTTTCGGAATTATTACGACGTTTTGGGACTACAACCGTGTACTTATATTTGTATGTTTGAATGCATAAAACCTGAGAAGCAATCTACCATTTGTAAACACAAGCAACATTAAAACTTTGAACCGGTTATCAGAATAAAAACTTGTACTTCTCCAGTGCATAGTGTGGTCAATTGGTTGAAATTATTGACACAATTTGCAACGCATGAGAGGACTTGGAGGATTTAAGACACCCTGGACTCTCACAATTTACATCCAACTGGGTGTAGGGGAATTGAAAGCCTGCTCAACTTTCATCCACTAGTTATTTAAAACGCTGTACAACAGGACTTACCGCGGCACGCTATCCACCTAATTTCAAGTAGTACGTCTAATATTACTTTCATCTTTGCATCCGTCCCCTTTTCCGCCGCAACTGCTTTAATTATAGCTCGATACTTTTTGCGCAATTTACGGTTCCGACCGAAAGATGCTTGAGGTCTTATTTCCTCTTTCTTTTCTTGACTGATAGGCATCGAGTCCAAGATTTCTGTGTAGTTAGCACTTGCATCCTCGGTGTTCAAAATTATATCCACAAGTGTTGATATTACCGAGTTTTGCAGGTTGTTCTTTCCATCCGTATACATAACTGTGGATATTCAAAATTAGATGATTAGAAAATGTCTATGTATATGTACAACGAATTGAATTAATTAATATCTTAGGTTGGACTATATTGACATATGCACACTCTAAATAGAAGTTGTGGAAAATTTACGCAAGGTTGAGTAAAAAAAGTGGATGACACAAAAATTCTATAAAATTTAGACAACTGTTGTTTAAAATGTGTCCAAGTTGGTCAAAATTCATTCAGCGGTTGAGTCAAATTTGTTCAACCGTTGTGTAAATTTGACTGAATTGTTGTGTCATCCTCTTTTTTACTTAACCTTGCGTAAATTCGGCACAACTCGTATTTGGAGTGTATCTATATTTGTAGGCATGAGTGAGTAAGCATGTACAGTATGCAACAAAATTAATCATATTCTTATGATTCTTAAAGCTCGACACAGGATCCTGTGAACTTTTATATTAGAACAGATTTCCATATTGATAATTATCAATGTGCAAATGTGTTCAATTACATATGTATGTTACGGCATTCAGAGTCGGAAATTTTCAAAACCCAGTTTTCGATTTTTCCGATTTTGGCAAACCTTGGTAAAACCGGTTTTCGATCTTACCGGTTTTTGGAATTTTCGTAAAACTGATTTTTGGTTTTCCCCAAAACCGGTTTTAAACCGGTTTTCTAATAAATTTTCAAAATTTGTAAAGTATAATACGGTAAAATTTAAAGCTGGACAAATTTTGGGCATTAATTTGAAGAATAATATTTCAGAACAATTAATTTTTGCATTAAAAATAAGACATGGCAAATATTTAGTGGTTTTAAAACAGTTTTTGTCCAAAATCGAAAACGGTTCTTGAGTCTGATAAAACCGGTTTCTAGGTAAAATTGAAGACCAGTTTTCGAGTAAATCGAAAAATAGTTTTTAATCGGTTTTACAAAATCGGAAAAACCGGTCTTGGATGCCCAAAGGTACGTATTAATATATATTTATTAATTAACTAATTTACGCGGAATATTGGAAATTTCATCGTCAGTAAATGGGATATTTTGGTTGCTGGATGCGTGAACCGACGTCATGTGTGCATCGCCTGATAACGTTAGATTTGTTTTTGACATCGAGTTTGTTCATCCAACAAATTTCGGCTTATTCTTAAAACAAAAAAAAACATCATTACTAACTTTGTGCTTACTAATCAATATACATACACACATAAATATATGTATTATTTGCACGTAAGTTATAAAATACTGACTTCAAAATATTTTATATTTTATATTTATTTTAATTTATTGTAATTTGATTAAATTGTTAAACACGTCAACTTACATGTACAGTCAGGTGCAAATCTTTACAGCCACCTTAGTTTTCGTCATAAATTTTGATCGAGTAATCAAAAAATTACGAAATTGGGATATAATATGTAGAACACTATCCTACACAATTGACAGGAGCCATGAAGTCCAGATACACAGCATACTATTCTTTTCCTACTAAATGTAAAAAATAGGGGGTGCAAAACTTTACAGCCACCTAGTTTTAAAATCATCAATAGAGATCATATTATGACTAATCAAGGCAAATTGGGTGAATTCGCGCAATATTCGCGCAATATTCTTTGGCTGAGAACGACGGAAAAATGTTTCGATGACAATAAAAACTATCTATAGGGCTGTCTCAGAACTCCGGCTGACCTCAATTCTATCCAAAATCATGGTGTTGTATTGATAAGAAAATCTAAACAAAACTTAAGTTGATCCGAAGCTGAGAACCACTTGAAACAAGAAATTTTTAAGGTACAGCGATGGAAGGGAAAAAAGTGTACTAACTTCATGCTGAGTAGTATCTGTTGACTTACTTCGAAGAACTGAAGTGTAACGAAGTGCTTGATACCAAAACCAGGTGTTTTACACTTGTTTTACTTATTCATCCTCAGTCACTTGTGTGGAGTAACCAACACCATTGGCTCAATTGTTCGACGTTATCTTGTCTATCCTTGTTTATCACCAAACATATACATACATATGCAAAACCGTAATTATCACAAACATAGGTATCTTCGGACAGAAGTATGTAAATTTACATGCTACTGTCAATATACGTATCACTATCGTGCACACATAGGTATTTGTACAATAGTGTTACATTTACAGCCTCAATGGTTGTGATTTGGCTTGACAGCATATTTTACTACGTGAATATATATATATATTTAAACATTTGGTGTGTATTTCCAGCCCAGTCCATGCCAGGGTAAGGAAAACCCTGGGGTTTTGCTATTGAAAACCCATACCCAGGGGTTTTACCTGATTTTTGCGGGTATTCGGGGTTTTGGGAACAAACTGAATCACGACCCCTCTGTACTAAACTGTGAAAAAGTCCGATTTTTCAGCAAATTCGCAACAAATATGCTTATTAATTATATTTTAATAACTAATTAATTTGTTGAATTGCTAGTAATGCCCGGTTATCATAATTTTTAACCCCGATTACCCGTGGGCATTGCTTATTTTTGCTACCGCAAAACCCAAATACCCCAAAACCGGTTAGAATGGTAAAAATTTGCAAAAGTACAATCTATATTTAAATATGTATAAACTTCGATATTTGTAACTTAAAAAAATCGAGAAGAAATGTACAAAATAATGCCAAACCTTTTCATCCTTACAATACTGACAAATTGCTTTATCATCAACTTTATGTTACACTTGTGTAATTTACGTGGGTCAAAATCTGCAAAATTCAGGCTTAAATATCCGGCGCTTGGTCAATCCGTTTCTCAGAATTTTATCTAAGGATTTTAACAATTTGAATTTTCAATAAACACGCAAATATGCATTTCTAGCTAAATAATAATTAATCTAACTTCAAATTAATTACTACTTTAAGTAGTATCCGAAATTATCCGAAGTTATCCGAATTTTTGATAAAGTATCCATCCGAACCGAAACCGAATCATTCAGTAAGTTTGGAAATTTTTTTCAACCGAAAAATTCGGACCAGGTTCTGATGGATATTTTTTCCAACCGGAATATTCGGATTCGGTTCGGATGGATTTTAATATATTTTTAAGCATGGCTTTCGAAATCATTTCCATTTTGCATTTACCACTGGTCATTGATTTCTTGCAGTGCATATGCATGGAGTAATTTAAAATTGAGGCAAGATCGCACTATTCTGTGTGTTTTATTGAACATGTACCAATTTAGAGTCGGTTATCCGAATTTTGGATAAAGTGTCCATCCGAACCGAATCCGAAAAATTCGGTTCGGATGGATATTTTGGCAACCGGAAAAATCGGATTAGGTTAGGATGGCTATTTTTCAGCCAACATATTCGATTCGGTTTGGATGGGTCTGAAAAAAATGTCTAACCGGCTCAACTCTGGAGCAATTATAGGATTACTTTGAGGTTTATCTAGTGACTAATCTACTATAATAGTAAGGAGATCTGACAAGGGAATGTTCCCAACTGCTCATCGTGTTCAGGGCACCACTGTTGTTGCGAACCTTCTAAGTAGATCAAGGATTCATTAATATTTTTTAGTTAAACTTATAATTGGCACAGGGGGCTGCCGAGAATGCAAAATTTGACAAATTTGAATGCTTCATTTTTCAAACAGCAATACAATTGGCAACTCTCAATTGAATGAGGTAATGAATTTATTTCAAAGCATTAGGGCCCCCGAAGTACCAAAAGTCACTAGAAACCTCAAATATTGACGAGTAAAATAAATACAGATTTTTAATTTAAAAATATCGATTATCGCCTATCGTTTTGCACCACCTATTTTTCCATTTTTTCTAGCTACGAACTATTTCCGATGATGCTGGTGTGTCATGCTAATATTATAAGTAAGTAATACTATTATACAGATTTGTGTAAAGTTTCAAGTCATTCGGTACACTGATGTGATAACTAAGCGAAAAAAAACCATATCGCCTATCGTTTTGCTCCTGACTGTATCGTGAATACTTAGCTTAAAATTTTAATTTTTCAAAATTTTACAACTTCTAAATTATGACCTGATTTCAAAAATGAAAGGTCGGAATTGTTTCCGAGCAGGCTTCGAAAAACTGTTAAAACTTGATGGCAGTTCACAATTTTTTAAATAGAATAGCCTGACTTTTTTTAAGATTAAAGGTTTGTTAAAAGCAGAGTTTGTTTTAATTACTTACAATGAGGACGTGTCAGGTGGTTATCGCCAATGTGAACCGGACTAATTTTAAATTGTTCAGACTCAAACATAAGCCAACCCGTATTTTTTCGTTTTTCTGAATGGGAATGTTTACACCCGTGGCAGAATTTTCAAAAAAAATTTCAGCCAAATTCTGGATATTTAGAAACGCTTTAACTTTTGGAGTCTTAGCTCTGTTTCAAAAATTGAATACAATTTGTGCTCAGAATTACTTCCCTGAAATTATAAAAATTCATTTTCAAAATTTTTGAAAATTTAATATTAGCAAATTTAATATTACCTAAAGTGCATAAACCTGGTACACCTCTCCGGCCGGTAGTAGATTTCAGACGTTCCCCTACGTATAATCTTGCAGCAATGTTGTCCAACATTTTGAAGAAAGTAGCCTCAAAGCATGAATATACCGTCAAAAATGGAGAAGAATTTGTGAAAGGAATAAAAAATGTCAAAATACGTCCAGGAGATCAAATGATTTCGTTCGATGTTGTCTCTTTTTACCAAAGTTCCCATAAAAGAGATCCTGAAAATCATTTAAAAAAGACTTCAAGATTATTATAACCTCGAGGAATTGACAAAACTCTCAATCAATGATCTAATGGAACTCATTAAAATATGTTCCACCTAAAATCCACCTATTTTAAATATAAGAACAAATTCTATCCCCAAGCGGAAGGCACGGCTATGGGATCCCCCTTCTCGCCAATAGTGGCAGAAATATTTCTGCAATAACTGGAAAAAAAGCTTGTCAAAAACAATCGAAACATTATCTATTGGCGTAGATTTGTCGATGGCGTATTTGCCATAATACGAATTCGAAAGGAAAAGGACATTTTAAATCTTATCAACTCATTCCATTCATCCATTCAATTCACCTTAGAAGATGAACAACAAGGACAATTACCTTTCCTGGATCTCATGATGTACAAGAACGCGGACAAATCGATTGGTTATCAAATTTACCGGAAGCCTACACATACCAACTTGTACCTGAACTATCACTCTTTTCATCCTCCTGCACACAAATTGGCGTAACGGATACACTGCTAACAAGAGCCTTAAGACTGTCAGATGAAGACCATTTGAAGAATGAAATCAAATACACAATCAAAATCTTAGAAGAGAATGGATATCCACGAAAAATGATTGAATACAGATTGAAGAAAGTCAAAAACAAAATGCAACATGACAATAACAACTCACAAGATGAACAAGTCAAAAAAATTATTTTACCTTGGGCAGGTGAAACCACCACAAAAATTGCAAGATTTCTAGAAAGAAAACTGGAAATGAAAATAGGTTACATTCCTGGGCCGAAGTTATCCAGAATTCTAGCCAACACTATAAGTATATTGGGGAAACAGGACGTGATTATACTAAAAGGATTCAGGAACACATTCATGCCATTAGAAGTGGGAATGTAAGATTATCTCCTGTTGCTCTACACATGCATGAACATGAAGACAATTTGGACCTAAATTCGTATAAATTAATTCCAAAAGAACCTAGAAAATATTTTCGGAAATTTAAAGAAGCATTGTTCATCAAAAGTACCCCAAACAAGATGAATATCTCGAGAGGAGTCGCAGTCAGTCCTATCTGGTCACGTACACTTACCAACTTTTTAACCTTCACACTATAGCCCTCAAAGCCCACATGAAAATTTTATCATTGTAACCATGTATGTGATTTCAAACCAAATTAGACTTAATCGTCTAATAAGACTAATAAGATCGACATATCCAACGGAGTCAACATCAACCCAATCTGGTCCTCAATGCTAAATTGAGCAATTACCAATATCAATTCATAATTATGCAAATTATGAATTCCTGCTCCAACTAATTCATAGAGCGCAATGGGAATGCGAAAAACGAATTAACCGACTAATTTCCATTCGAGTGGGTCAAAACTGAGTTAATTTTTTATGGCATGGGCAATATTGATGATACATATTATCTTATGCAAAAAAATTCTCTACTTTCGCTTTAGTGAATATTGGCAAACTCCTGATTTACTTATCATTTTAATGATCAGGATGCTAATTTCTTGCAGTCCGACTTAAAATTATATGGCGAATCCGAATTTCTACTCCATTTTGCTCTTAATGCATTTTGAGTACCTCTCGTTGATAGTGCTGCATCCGACGAGGGCTGGCAAATTATGAATTTCTGCTCCAACTAATTTATAGAGCGCAATAATATTGGCAAATTCCTGATATACTTATTATTTTAATGACCAGGATGCTAATTTTATGCAATCGTACTTGAATTTGTATGGCGAATTCGAATTTCTACTCCATTTTGCTCTCAATGCATTTTGAGTACCTCTCGTTGATAGTGCTGCATCCGACGAGGGCTGGCAAATTATGAATTTCTGCTCCAACTAATGAACAGAGCGCAATGGGAATGCGAAAAATGAATTTACCGACTAATTTCCATTCGAGTAGCTTACAATTAAGTTAATTTTTTACGGCATAGGCAATATTGATGATACATATTATCTTATGCCAAAAAATTCTCTACTTTCGCTTTAGTGAATATTGGCAAACTCCTGATTTACTTATCATTTTAATGATCAGGATGCTAATTTTATGCAATCCTACTTGAAATTGTATGGCGAATTCGAATTTCTACTCCATT